CCACAAACCTAGATCTCTGTTCTAGTGTTTTCCAGTGTTTTTCTGTGTTGGCCACATCTCCAGTGTTTTACTGGAACTGTGTTCTTGCTGCAGCTATGGAGCAGTGTTCTTGTGGCTTGGGTAGGCCAGAGGCCCTTCTCTAGAGACTCTCTAGCTCTCTTCTCTCCTTTCTCTTCTTTGACAACACGAGAATAAAAGTTAGCATTTTTGGAGAAGGCATACATGTCCATTTCTGAATATAAATTCTTGTTAGCTTTATTTTTTGTGCTTCATCACTCATTTTACTATTTTTTTTTTCCATTTTCTTATGGTACAAATCATAAGAGAAAGTTGAATTTTCTAGCTAATACAATAATAGAATATAGAGAGACCTAAACTAGATAATCCTTTTGAAGTTTTCAAGAGGTTTTCTTTGTGAAGGACTTAAGGGAAAGGCCATGCATGCAGGCACATGAAAACTGATGCTTAAAAGGATTAGGTGAAAAAGCACAAGAAAGCTTTACTGAGGATTCTCATGAAAAGGAAGCAAATTATCACTAACAGCTTTGACAAAAGCCATTAAAAATCTCAGAAGTCCTTTCTAAGTTGAAGCTTAAATCTGAATGCAGTGTAAGCCTTTAGAAATGTTTTGTCTAATAATGCTAAGGTCACATTTTTATATTTTTATATACTACTGTATTAATATTAATTTGGACCATAATAGCTCCAGAGGGGTGACATCTTTATATCTCTTTATAGCTTGGAAAATCTAAGCTCTTTGACATGTATGAAAGGTTTCACATTTTTATTTAAGAAGGCCTATGCATACTGTATTCTCAATCAGAAGCCAGTCCTAAATAGATAGTGGGTAGATTAACTCCTGTCTTTCTACAGTTAATCATCTTTCATCTTGATCCCACGTTTCTTTTCCAGTGATTGTGCTTTGCATAAACACTTTTCTTATAGCATCCTATGCACTAGATTCATCACAGGAATAATAAATATTACAAAAAAAAGATTTTTCTGTGTGTATGTGGAGGTTAATTTATGTTGACTTATTTTTGCCACTGCTGTACACATCAAAGGCCCTGTGCTGATCTCACTGGTGCCTCTGAGTGAGTAGTAAAGGCTGAGCGTGGCTTTTTCAAGAGTTAATCGTTAAGCATTATGGCTTAGGCATTAGTGAGTTCAACAGTATTTTTTTCCATGGCAGTTCTCTCTCTTCTCTCAAGCTGTAATTTAGGCTGAAGAAGTGAATGTCAATCTGCAAAGCTGATCTAAAATTCTGTGTGATTTCCATAAACTTAGATATAGGGAGATTTAAGCCAATTGCCTCACTTTGTTCTGTAGGCCACAATGAAATGATAAAGTGGGATAAAACTGAAATAAATAATTTTCTGTTCCTCTTTGATACTTTATGAATTGAGATACTCAAATCACACTTCTGTATGACCTGATGCAATATTGGCAGCCTGTTTTTGTAAAATGAAAGCAGTAGGTTGACAAACTACCACTTTCCCAGTTGACTCTGTGGCTCGGTTCAACAACCATTACCAGTAATGACACTGACGGTGACAGTAGGGCTCATTACACCGATATGAAAGGGGAATGCACTACAGGGGGTCTTTAAGTCTTCCAGGGAAGGCAGCTCGTGTTGTCACCGCTCCTGGAGCGCTTCCCTCCTTCGCCTGGGCCCTGCGCAGCCAAGGGGAGCCGACCTGCCCCCAGTCACAGGATGGTTGAGGTTGGAAGGGACCCCTAGAGATCATCTAGTCCAACCCCCTGCTCCAGCAGGGACACCCCGAGTATGTTACACAGGGTGGCATCCAGGCGGGGGTTGAAGACCTCCAGAGAAGGAGACCCCACAACCACCCTGGGCAGCCTGTTCCTAGTGAGCGTGTGAGTAACAGGACTTGCCAACATGGAGCAAGTGCAGGAAGCCCACGGGGACACTGTGGAAAATACAGACCTTTTGATTATTTGCTAAGCACATTTAAACTACCAGTGTTTGGGTGATCTGTTACAAATTTCTTTTTTTTCTTTTTTTTTTTTTTTTTTTTTAAATGAGAGCCAATATGTTCTCTTTCTGGAGGAAAAGGGAGGATGAGAATAAGGGAGTTTCAGGGCCAGTCTCCCATGTGTTTCTGGGCTACAGTCCTACAGATATCTTTCATTTTTACACCTCTCCGAATCTGTGTCTGGTTTTGCAGATCTTCTTTAACTGTTATTTAAATGGATTACAGGATTTGAAGGCATAATATCAATTTCATTCCTTCATAACAGCAGCAATTAAAAAAATAAAAAGTATTGATTCACATATCATCAAATCATCATAAATAGTCAGGCTTAATAGAATTATTGCTCAAGACAGTGATTTCCCCATGCTCTTATGTGTGGTCCTTTTTTACTTCTTTTTTTCCCCTTGCGTGATAAAGATGTAGCTTTGAACTGCCAAAGAAAAACAGAAAACATCTTCAAATGCTAAATGTCTCAGATGATGTGAAGTGAGTGTTTTGCCTAAAGTTTTCATCTATTTCTGGGATTGCAGCCAATATATTTATATATAAAAACACCAAGTTTTTACAAATGCCTGGATTGTAAACATTTTGGAAGAAATCTTTTCTCTTCCGCTTAAAGATCTTGTCTTCAAGAGAAAGTTTTATGGTCCTTAGTTTTTTTATTCTGTAGTCTTTTCACATTTCAGAAAATATATTTCTAGTTCCATAATATCTATAGTTTCTCCTTAATTTTACAACTGCTTAAATTTGACCATCATTTCTGTAATACATAGTTTACCAAGGGTAAAATTAAAACTTACGGAGTTGAAGTACAAATGGGGAAGATGGTAGAGCTGTTCTAGTTCTGATCAACTCAGATTGATTAGATTACCCAGGCTACTGTTAAGGTTGAAATTAATATCTATTGTTTTCTTTAAAATGTATTTGTTCCTTACTTTGTGCAGCAGTTATAAGCTTCATCTGAAAGAAGTAAATTTAAGCCTAGTGCCAATAACTGCAGAGTTTCACATAACATAAATGGGTCTTGAAGACTAATAATGAAAAGTGTAGAATGATTGTTGTATTTTACTTTCACTGTTTCACTGAATATATTAGGAAATAGTTCTCAAACTTTTACTTTAGAAGATCATCTTGTTAATGGAGGAAATTTTAATGACAAACTGTCATGTTTTAAATGCTTGTAATTTAAAAAGAAGTTTGGAGTGCAGAGGTTGAGTTTTCAGTGTCTTGGTTTATTTTCGACCCCACGTAGTAAATTCTGAAGGAAACCTATAAAACTTCCTATTAAATGTCTGAAGAACAGTAAAATTATATTCTGTTATCTCAGTGTTGTACTGAATAACTTGTTACTTCAGGAATTTCGTACTCAAGATGTGTTGTTTGAAAACCGGTTTTTGGAGTTCCTAAGACCATACTAATAGATGCTTAACACTGAGTTATGAATAGAGTCTAAAATTAAGCATAGCAAAGTGAGTCCTCTTGTGAATGTACCTGTGTATGATCAAGCTATTTTTGGCCATGTACCCTCAGGGATAGTTTTTGAGTGGCTAGAATTTATAGGAATATTCCTTATAAATGAGAATATCCTCATATTCTATCTAGGCCAGCAACTGCAGAAGGATTAAACCCCAAATATGCTAACACCTCCAGCTGGTTATTTTATAATAAAAGCAGCTCAACTCCATCATTGCGGGGAGGAAGGAAGAGCACGGAAGTACAGTCACTACTCTCAGTATAGTCAAATGTCTGTGATTTTAAACTTTAGAGATAATGTGCCCTTTAATGGGAAGGTTGTCAAGGCTGCAAGAAGGAAGTATCTGTTTGCACAGACATACAGCATATGAAGAGAAATAGTATTCAAGAGCTTAATGAAGTCTTATGAAAAAATATCACATTTACACTCTTGTAAACAGTCATCAGGTGACTGCAGGAAGGTCAGATTTTGTCTTGAAATAAACCAGAGTTCAATGGAAAGATTAGTTGGCCCACTCTGACTAAGCTACCTACAAGTTGCAAAGCTTTAGTTAGTGCTTAAGTGCTTGAGTCTTTTATGACACCTGTGTAAATTGGAGACCTTGTTTCTAAAAGATTCCTAACCTCACAATCACCTACTCAAGTAATTCCCCATTTGGCTATTAACACAACTTAAAAAGCCTGCATAGAATAGCAAAGAACTGCAGTTGCAGAGAGCAATGCAGTCCTGGAAGTGAGCTGGAAGTTTATGTAGCCTGCTTCTGAAGAGAGTACTCTGCATTACATTATGCACTTGTGTTATACTAGATCTTAGAAGCATCTGAAAAATTCAAAGTAGTGCTTGTGTAGCTGTTACCTTGCATCCAGTGAGCCAGAAGTATATAAGTATTGCACCATGGCTGATAAGGATGGAAGTGCAAAGAGCTGAAGATAGCTGGGTGATATCTGCGACTGTGAGTCAGAGGAGGGTTGGGAAGAAGAAATCAAAGCAGAAATTGTGTAAAGGTTTTTTCAATCATGCTGGAAGAGCTGAGAAAGATTACTGGATGGAGGAACATACCAAGCATCAGAGGAGATACTATAGTGTGGGAAATGAAATGTAGTAGAGAAAGGAGGTATTTGGTAATAGTATATTTGAGCAAGGATTTCAGTTGATTTTTCTGCAGAATTCTAGCTCTGCAGTGAATGGTTTGTGGTAAGATACTAATGAATTTTTCAAAGTAGTTGAATGTACATCTAAACTTATTTTTAAAGGCAATCTGTAATGGCTTGCATATTAAGTAGTCAAGAGAACTAGAACAACACAATCTCTTTCTGCTTTTAAAGCTTAATTATAGTAGGATTTTATTAATGCTTGACATTGTCTTAATATAGGACTAACTGAAAATCCACATGTTTAGGGATTGCACAAAGCATCTGAAAAGAGCTGATCATAAGTGAGTGTTATGGAAGTGTACGTATATCACAGACCAGTAGTTGAAAAAGTAAATTGTGAATTTAGCAACCTGACTGAATTCTGTCTTTCTTCAGTTCTAGGTACTGACTCTGGATTCGTACCAAAACAGACTCCATGGTATTGAAGGTTGGTGACTTCTTTTTTTTTCAGTTTTCACATCTAGTTTTAAAATATTTATTTATAGGAATGTTTAAGTGATCAGGTGATAGGATGGGAACTGCTTATTAGCAAAAAAAAAAAAGGAAAAAACCATAGTGCAGTAGAAGATGGAGCAAAAAGATGATTAATTTAGAAACTTGTGCTGGATTAAGACACAAAAGCAGTGTTGTGTTTTTGACCTCGTCTACACAGTGCATTTTTAAATACTAACTAGAGCAATATACAAGCATTAAGGTTTTGGTGTGAAGTCTGTATTCAAGTGCTTTTGATTCAAAGATTTCTCTTCTTATGAAGACAGGATCATAAGACCTGATCCCCTTTTATTGGCTATTCAGATAGGATCTATTAGCTCTGCAGTGTCTGCCTGAAATGTAGAGTGTGGTACCTGGTAGTCAAGTCAGAGGAGGCCAAAGCCTTTCCTGGCCTGGCTCCATGCAAACATATTGCTGGAAGACCATACCTCAGGGAAGGGCATATTTGCTATTTGAAGATAAACTAACTTCAGTCTACCTGTAATATCATGTTATCCCTGCAATAAGGAACACTGTGTGCCTCTGATGAAGCCTACTAGCCTAGCAGAATGAAATTCTGTTGAATAGCGAGGTACACAGTGGTAGCGAAATTGGGCAAAGTGGTTTCTAAACCATCTGGTTTAAATCTAGTAAACCATCCAAACCATCTGACTTTCAGTGCTATCTTGTTTGGTCCCCATTAAGAGACATATGTTGCAGAAACGATTTCAAGCCAAATGTGTTCTAGATTTTCAAGTACAATGTTTTTGAGATGCATCTGTGGGCCTTGATTTACTGCTTAATCTCTGAAAAGAGCCAGCTCTTTTGTTCTACTGTTTTTCATTTCACTGTTTTGAAAGATTTTTTTTTTTTTAATACTAAAATGCACCTTACTAACAGAAATTTGTTTGCCTGATCAACGGCATGATCAGAGTTCCTAGAAACCAATGGTTGTTTTGCACTTTTATGACAAGTATCAGATAAAGTATGGGATGTTATTCTACTATATTTAGAGTCATACAAGAGTCTATTAATGTGTGTACTTGAAACAATGAGATTAGGCTCTCATAAAATATATGAAACTTCCTATGAACAATATCTATCCAAGAACCTAGTAACTGGCCTTGTGTGGGAGTGAGGGAGGAGAGTGCTGTGCTGCAGGTTTGAGAAGCACATGCTGCTTGCTGCAAGTGCAATCTTCAGAGCCAGCCTGTCTTCTGGACTTACAAATGCACCCTATTACAGCTTTGTTTTCATGAAGGGGTGTTCATGAGGCATATTTTTCCTTCACAAAAGCTATTTTACCTGAGATAAGGTCTATCAAATCACTACCACACATTTTTTCTTCTGCTTGAGATAGACTTTACTGACCCTGCCCTTCACGCTCACCTGCTCCGTGTACTTCTCATCATACCTTTCTTTGTAACAACCCCATAACTGGCAGGTCACATACTGTTATTCTCTCATTAAAGAACAACTGTTCCTTGCTTACTGTTCTATACAAATCAGCTCAGGAGCAGCTGGATATACCTGATGCTTTTGTCTCCATTCAAACGGACCAGTATCTCCTGCTGTTTCTGATTTATAACTTTCATTACCAAAGTTGAATAGTAGTTGTGTTTGCAATTCTATTATAGTTTGCAATCCTGTTATAAAGGGAGGAGGAAGAAAGTGGTGAGAGGGAAATTTGGGGCCATTAGGAAAGGTGGAAAAAGATTAATAAAAGAAACAAGCAGAAAAAAAAAAGCAAAATCAAGGATGAAAAGTGATTACGGAGGAATGGGAGGTAGAAATGCAAGTCTTCTCTTGCAGTGGTGTCCAGTTTTCCTGCAGTATGTACCATTACTTATTAGCTTTCCTGCAGTGTATATCATTACTTATTCTCCTGCTCTGACAAGGTACCTGGTGCTACTCCCTCAGGTAGTGCTGTGAGTCTTTGCAGTGGCAACCAACTTGGCATATTCTGAGTGTGTCATATTGGGTAGGTGCACGTCAGTTGTAATTTCTGTGCACAGTCCCCCACCCATTACTTTTCATTGGGGAAGAAAGCTGACTGTCTCCCACGCTGCTCTTTGGATGCAGACAGAGAGCAGGCCACATAATAAGTGAGTAGTTCTGATACTGTCTTTTGCAGCACCTGTCACGTAAAATAAGGGAGGTCGTGGGCAATGCAGATCGCTTGTAATGCAACGTTGCAGCCTCCCTTTTTGCTCTGAGACCTTGTGGAGCTGCTCAGGCTTGCCAAGGATGTTCCAGTCGGTTGTGTCTGGTTTATGTTTGGGATTGCTGAAGCCAGCTGGCCCCAGCAGAGCAGGGCCTGTCATACAGCTCAGCACTGACAAGGCTGTTCAGCTCTTCAGCTGCAGGCAACCGGGGTGCGCCTCTCCTGTGATCCAACGGAGAGGGATGTTTCCATCATAGGAGTGGCCATGATCTATTGGAAGAGAAAATCGAGAGGCAGGCAAATTATTTGCGGAGTGTACAGCAGTGGCAGTGGTGCTGTGTTGCATTTTGTTAATTTTTGCCTACGTTGTACAACCTCATGCGAGGAGACTTTTTGGAGGAGACTCCAAGCAAGGTAACTGCCTGTACCTTCAACAGCAATGCTTCCCACACAGTTGTACTACTGAGATTAAATACAGTCTCTTCCTCTTGGACATCGTAATGTCTTAAAAAGTAAAAGCGTTAAATCTGTATTTGGATGTAACTACTGTGTCAAACTAGTAACTTCTTGACAAACTTGCAGAATTTAGTTTGAATATGTTAGAGTAGGCAGTGGCAGTTCAAACCAGCATGTAACTGGAGGGCCTCCCTATGATATGTTCTATTTATTATATATTAATTTCTATTGCTGTACAGCTGCCCTTTATATATAGCGTATTATTTTTGTATTACTTAAGTATTTTAAGAGCTATGCTCTTGGTAAAGACATAAACAAAGCACAAAGGCCAGTCTGTTTTCTGCATAGTAGATTTGTTGTTGAAGAGTTTGTGCCAGCCAGTACAGAGAGGGCAATCGTGTCTTATTCCTCTCAAGAGAGATGAATTACTCAACTGCCTCAGCTCCTGCTGTTTCACATTCTTATCCTTGAATTATATTGTTGAAGTGGCCTGCCATTCTCTACTGAGCAGCTTGTGAAAAGAAAATGCTTTTCTAGTGTAATTGGCAGAACTATAAATATGTTGCATTGTCTCCTCCATGAAAAGTCTTCACCTGTGAACTGGTTTGGATCAGCACCAGCTAACCCAACAATGTCATTACTTGTCCTTTTGATTTTTTTTTTTTTAAGAGAACCAATAGATTTCTTTAAACAGCTCTTTTTCAACAAATAGTATCACACAGAGCAATATCTATTAAAACTGTTGCAAATTTGCAGTGACTGTTTTATCTTTTGATATGTTTTCATATTGCAGGTAATCCATCTTGCTGGTAATCCATCTTGCTATTTTTCTGTTTGGGAAACTTTTTCAAACGCTCTAATTTAGTGCATAGTACCATTGGGACTGTGAAAAGATGCGGTAATTCCAAATAAGATCATTGGATTCAAATTTATTTGCATCTTCTACTTTAACTCATTCTACTCTGACGCAAGTAATATTGTGTGCCTTGTACAAACTAGTTTTTTAACGTTTGTATTTTGGTAGGAACAATGTTGAGCTGTTTGCTTATCTTTAAGCAAAGCAAGCTAATGATAAATGTTGAGGGATAGGCATACAGCATATTCAATTAGTGGTGCGCTAAGAATTGCACAAAACTTGAAATACTTTGATGAAACAAATTAGCTGAGGAGACTGAAACTCTGTATACAAATCCTGATAATAATTCCTAAACCTTAATTTGTGAAGGGAAATTAAATGGGTGTTTTGCTCAGTGGAAATGCTTCCCGCATAAACAACATTATTTATTGTAGATTATTTGACCATCTCTGCGGATGATCAGAAGTTTGATTTGGTCATGATGTTACCCAGAATTACTGGTCAGCACGGTGTGCTCTGTAGGCAAAGGTGGTTAAAAGATGCTTAGCCTTTTTTTTTTTTTTTTTTTTTTTCTTTCTCTCCATACAGCTTTTAGTATTAAAACTCATAAAACTGGGGTTTATTCACAGATAGCGTTTCTTTTCTTGAGAAGGGAGAGGAAAGGGACTCTGTCAGAGACATCACAGGTCAGTTGAAACCTATTTGAATCAAATCAAGAAAATAAGATGCTTATTTTTGTATGGCATTTGTGTTGCCAGCTTTCACAGCTGGAAAAGAAGAGATTCATCTGACTGCAAATTGATACTGGAGAAGTAATTCTGTGTGTCACCATTAAGGAGCCTTCCAGTTCTTTCTGGAAGATAAAAATAAAATCTTTCTACAAGATAAAGATTTAGATAAAATATGCAAGATAAAAATCAGAAAAATAAAATCAGATGCAAAATTATATATCCTTTTTGTACAATTTGTACCTAATTGGCAAGTTCATCTTTTTCATTGTATTTGTTGACAAAGATAAAGTATTATGTGTTATCACATTAAGCATATATTATAAAGATATTTCTCTTACTGAAAAAAACTTTACGTTCAGAAAAAAATAACTCTAATTCTTTCAATTTTCTAATCAATTTCCTCTTCTGACAGATGGCTGACATATGCTCCTACATACATATGAGCAAGTTGGATTCTAACTGTAGAAGTCTCTTCCAGATGATACCTGTTTTTGATACTCAAGTAGATAGCTTTGGTTTGGGAAATTTTATTTTCTTCTATCCAGAATAAACTCCATCAAATATATATAAACATCAAGAGATCCTCAAATATCTCCTTATGAAGTATTTGAATATTTCATATTAATATGAAATGTATACTGGCCAGTGAACCTTCAAACATCTCTCAGAAAGTAATTCACATCCCCTTAAGTACAGATCATTGCAAATGCCATAAAAACAGTCAGTGGTAAAAACAACATTAAGTTTAG